TTGGCACCATTTGGCTCAATAAATAAGAAGTAAAAAAATAGGAGAGAGAGAGAGAGAGAAAGGGAGAGAGAGAGAGAACGTGTTACGTAGATGGCACACTAGGGTATCTAAATAAATAACATAAGTTACTTTGAATAAATAGAGAGTATCTAAAATAAAGATGCATTGCATCAACTTCTGCAGATGGTCGGTCAGACCTGACAATATCCCAAGGGATTTATCCTGATGGTGCAGAGCGGGCTGGGCCGTGAGCTCCCACCCTGCTCCTACTGGTGGGGGAGGAAGAAATCTCCTCTTTTGCCCTGTTTTCCCCTCTTCTTGGGCCTCAAGTTTGAGGCTACATCAGACAGGCTGGGAGAGTTGGGGTGTTCAGCCTGGAGAAGAGAAGGCTCCAGGGAGACCTTAGAGCAGCTTCCAGGGCCTGAAGGGGCTCAAGGAAAGCTGGGGAGGGACTTGGGACAAGGGCAGGGAGGGAGAGGACAAGGGGGGATGGATGAAAAGTGGCAGAGGGAGATTGAGGTGAGACATGAGGAGGGAATTGTGGAGTGTGAGGGTGGTGAGAGCCTGGCCCAGGTTGCCCAGGGAAGCTGTGGCTGCCCCATCCCTGGCAGTGTTGAAGGGCAGGTTGGATGGGGCTTGGAGCAGCCTGGGCTGGTGGGAGGTGTCCCTGCCCATGCAGGGGGTTGGGACTGGATGAGCTTTAAGGTCCTTCCCAACTCAAACTAATCTATGATTCTAGATTTACCCCAGGACAGGTCCCAGCTCCATCTGCTACAAGCAGCCTTGATGAAAACACCATCTCTCTACAGGGGTGACTAGTCCATGGTCACTCCAGGTCAGACCCACAGGCTCAGCCTCCAAAATCCTGCCCAAAACCAGCAGCAAGATCCACTGGGAGATGCCCTGGGAAGGCTTAGGTAGAGCCAAGGATCAACCAAGATGTCTAACCCACTTCCTGAGGGGAGGATTGGAACAGGATGATCTTTAAAGTCCCTTCCAACTCAAACCAGTCAATGATTCCATAACCAGAACACAAACACGTGGCAGCCTGATGTACCCAGGGCAGGGTGCTGAGGCCTCGAATTCCCCCCAAAATAAGTATCAGTCTTGATAAATTGGGAAAGTGATGCCTTCCTGGAGCTGTTTAAATAATAACTCCTGCTGCCAGTGCTTTCATCGAGTGGAAACAATGCTGTGAGACCCATTTCCCCCCTCACAGATCCCAAAAAGGGGAGTGAGCCCACGGGAGCAAACAGGCTCCCAATTCCTGCGAGTCCTGGGTGGACGGGAGACCCGGGGCTGTGGTTGCTCAGGTCAGCACTGCACCAACACAGGGACCTGCCTCTCCAGATGTGTTCAGTAAACCACAATGAAATAGTCCATAACTCGTTGCTGGAGAGCCTGGGATAACATAACACTCATCTTTTGCCCTGTCACAAGTATGGGAATAGTTCTGAACAGCTCCTCGTGTTTCCAAACCTCCTGGTTTTTTCAGACCCTGTGGAACATCCTGATCCTCCCTGGCAGTGTTGAAGGGCAGGTTGGATGGGGCTTGGAGCAACCTGGGCTGGTGGGAGCTTGTGCTGTTAAGTCTAGGGGTGGACTGGATGATCTTGGTGGTCTCTTCCAGCCAGGGACATTCGGTGATTCTGAGGTGTCCCTGCCCATGCAGTGGGTTTGGATCTAGATGATCTTTAAGATCCCTTCCAACCCAAACTAGTCCATGATTCTATGATGCCCTGGGGAGTGGGGCTGCTGCAAACAGCAAAGCCACAAAGCAGCAAGATACAAAACCCCAACCTCAACCCCCCTCCCCGGGCAGATGTTGCATAATTAACAATAAATAACGCCCGGGAGGATGAGGAAGGAGCCAGATGAGGTTTTGCTGTAGCCCTTTCTGCATTGTAGACATTCCTCCAGACAGCTCCAGCTCCCATTACAGCAGAGAGAGCTGTAGGGATGGAAAGCATCAGGGAAACATCAGCCTTTCTATTGGAACCACATTTCCATGCCCAGGCAGCAGGGAAGTGGTGCAGGATGGCATTGGATGAGTGACGCTCCAGCAGTGGAGCTGAAGGAGCTTCACACAGAAGATGACCCTAAGCAAGATGTCCAGAAGAAGACACACAAGTAAAAACCATCCTTGGGCCACATCATGACAATCCCAGCCCAGTCAAGACCTGGTTGGGAAGGTTTGTGGTTGCAAATCCCAACTGCACCCAGGAAAAAACAAGGAACAGGCAGGGTGTAGTACTGTGAGTACTGTGTCCAGCTCTGTGCTCAGCACAAGAAGGACATGGACCTATTGGAGCAAGACCAGAAAAGGGCCACAAAGATCATCCTTGAGCTGGAGCAGCTCTGCTCTGGAGACAGGCTGGGAGAGTTGGGGTGTTCAGCCTGGAGAAGAGAAGGCTCCAGGGAGACCTTAGAGCAGCTTCCAGTGCCTGAAGGGGCTCCAGGAAAGCTGGGGAGGGACTTGGGACAAGGGCAGGGAGGGAGAGGACAAGGGGGGATGGATGAAAAGTGGCAGAGGGAGATTGAGGTGAGACATGAGGAGGGAATTGTGGAGTGTGAGGGTGGTGAGAGCCTGGCCCAGGTTGCCCAGGGAGGTGGTGGAGGCCCCATCCTTGGAGACATTCAAGGTCAGCCTTGACCAGTCTCTGAGCAACCTGGTCTGGTTAGAAAGGTCCCTGTGCACTGCAAGGGGGCTGGACTGGGTGACCTTGTGTCCTGGTTAGAGGCAGGATGAAGCCCATTTCCCTTTCCTGACAGCCTTGGGGCAGCCTGGGCTCCTGGTCCTGCTCAACACCTCACCTTGCTTTGTTGCTCTGGTGCCTTTTTTCCTTCACACTGGAGGCTCCTCTAACTAATTTTAGCTTCATAGTAGCAAGCACTGGAAAGCACCCAAGCCCTTGAGAGTGCAGTTATTGTTATTATTATTAGATTTAGATGCATGATTTTTTTAAACTCAAGGGCGAGCAGCTTCCTGCCCTGAGCACAGAGCAGGTCCCAGCTGCCCAGCTCCTGGTCCCATCCTGCTCCTGTTCCTCCTGCTCCTCTCCCCCCTCGTGTGCTTTAAATTCCACCCAAAACCAGAAATGCAAACTCTCCCTGGAGGTGGGGGGGAAGCACCTTGCAAGGCTCTTTTGGGAGCTCTGTGCTGAGTGGCTTGAGTTTGCCCGGTCTCAGCAGTGTTGGTAGCCCCGGGGGTGCAGGTTCTCCAGGGGGTGTGATTCCCTGGGGATGGTTTTCCCACCCCATAGCTCTGCCTTTCCCTTTTTCCTACCAGTGAGGGGGAAAAACTCAGCCTTACAGAGTGCAGGCTGCTGGCTCTGCTGGTGTTTATATTCCTCCACTACATCCTGGCTCTGCTCAGCCAAGAGGGGTGTTTGGATGACAAAAAGCAACACCAACCAACCAACCCAACCCCCCCAACCAGGCAGGTCCTTGTCGAGGCTGGGAGAGCAGCTGCTCATCCAAGGAGAGCCAGGAGGAGACCCCAGGGTGGGTTGAGGCTGTCCCCTCCCTGAAGATGCCAACCTGCTCCCCAAAATCCTGCAGCAGCATCTCTGGGCTGCTGTGCTCACCTACAAACAGCTCCTCCTCCTCCTCCTCACCACTCTGGGATGAAGGTGCAAGGTTTTCCCTCCCCCCTTTAGGCAGATGAAGGAGCTGGGACACTGCTGGGACCAGGAGGCAGAGACTGGAGCACTTTCCCTTGGTTAATGCCCAGGACATGACACCAATATTCTCTTTCTGTTTATGATTTGCTTTTTCTGGGAAGGGAGCCAAGGGGAGAAAACCCATCAATCCCGGGCAGCAAAAAGAGCCTGCCCAGAGAATGCAAAAGCCTGAGGCCTCATTTATTTCCCTGCAGAGTAAACAAGAGTGACACTGCTCTAAATGCAAACTGGAGCCAACCCCCAGGCCCGTGTCCCCTCTCCTGCACGATTCAAACCCCGCTGAGGAGATGGGCAACTCTGCTGGGCTGGGCTTGGAGAGCTGGGCTGGCTTTGGGGAGGTGCTGAACTACGGGTGCTCCTGCCCAGGGCTGCAGAACCAAGGGCTGGGTGGCCTCGAGAGGCTCTGTCACCTCCCTGGGCTCCATCACCTTTCCTGGACCCCATCACCTCCCCAGGCTCCATCACCTCCCCAGGCTCCATCACCTCCCCAGGCTCCACCACCTCCCCAGGCTCTGTCCCCTCCCCAGGCTCTGTCCCCTCCCTGGCAGTGCCCAGGCTCCAGCTCTGCTGCCCACAGGGGACCAGAAGGTTGATCCAGTTACTTCAGATGATGGTGAGTTTGAAGCAGAGGAGCCAATGGCCAGAGGGCACGAGTTGGGAATGAAGCCAGAGCCTCAGTGCACATCCCCCCTGTGCACAACCCCCTGTGCACAACCCTCCTGTGCACAACCCTCTGTGCACAACCACCCGTGCACAACCCTCCTGTGCACACCCCTGTGCACAACCACTTCTGCACGACTGACCTGTGCACACTCCCCTGTGCACATCCCTGTGCACAACCCCCTGTGCACAACGCTCTGTGCACAACCACCCGTGCACACCCCCGTGCACGACTGACCTGTGCACAACCACCTGTGCACACACCCCTGTGCACACCCCCCAGCACCTCACACCCCCACGTCACCACCCCGTCCCAGCACGTCCCGCACTTGTCACCCCACGCCGGGGGTACCCACCTCCCCACACCCCTCCACGGGTGACACGACCCGTGCGTGTGACACGCGCCACAGTGAAGGCAGCACGTGCCCTGTGCCTGTTGCACACCCCCCTGGGGGTGGTGACAGGGACCCCCGGGGGGGACACAACAGCCTCCAGCAGTGACGGCAGCTCCAGCAGCCGCGGGACGATCTCCGAGGGACGTTGGGTTGGGTCGGTCCGTCCTCACTGTCGCCATCCCCGCGTCCCCACCACAACCTCTGTCCCTTTTCCTGGTGGGCTCTCAAGGCCGGGCCACCCTCACCTCTCCCACCCAGCCCTTCACACGCAGCCACACTCCTTGGCCGACAGCTCGTTGACGGTGTAATAGCGGTTGTAGGCGTCGAGGAAGGAGACGTCGTCGTCGTAGGAGAGCGGGCGGCAGCAGGGCCGGGCACGAACCTTCTCTTGCCTGATCCTCCTCCTGCTCCTCATGCTTTTCAGGGACAGGTCGTAGCTGCGCACGGAGGCCTCGCAGGTGCCGCTGCAGTAGCGGAAAAGCACCGTCTCGTCCGACTCGTAGCCCAGCCCCAGGTCGGTGATGCTCACCTGCAGCTCCCGCCGCCC